TTTTTAGAACGGAGAAGTAACTACAATCGGACGGTATTTTGTACATGCACCTAGAGTCCTAGACTTAAGTACGAGGACTATCTTAGTGTCTTCCCAGGCAGCTGATATGGTGTTGTCTAAAAACGATCTGTTGAACGTGTTAGCTAATGGATAGCATAAAATATCAGTACATTTCGTGAATACGAAGCTTGATATACCATCTGGATCTGAACTATGAGAAGGGTTCAGAGATTTGAAACATCTGAAAACATCTTTCTCGATGAACTCTGGACAACGTTCTTCATTGAACATAGGTAGACAAAGTGGGATCGAACAAGTGGGTTGACGTACAAACGATTTGTTCAAGGCAAAGATATCGACATGTGCTTCTTTACTAAGGTGTTGACTACCAGTGGGGTCTTTAAAAAGCTTTTAAATGCTGGAAGAGCTGTTGCATGACAAAAGTTTCTGGTTGTATAGTAGAGTCAGGCGTTTAATTTCCAACCTAATTAAAACTTTTAATTGACGAACACCAGCATTATCACTTACCTTATATGGTTTTTTCTTTTTCTTTTCTTAGTTTCTTAAGCTGGAGAGAAGATAAAAGATCGAAGCATAGAAAAAGCTTTTCACTGGGGCAACATATATCTAGGCAGAACTTGAGATAACATGTCACACCATCAATAGTATCCCTCAAAACATCTCTGTCAAATATATTCCAGTCTGTACATCGTAGCATTTCTCTTAGATTAAGTATGTTACTAAGTGAGTAGTTCCTAAATAAAATCTTCTTGTATCTGAAGACTGTTTTGTGTAGTTTGCCATATATTTTGGACGAAACGCGTATAATGCAATGATCTGAGCTGAGCAGTCAAGATCTTTTTCGAGTTTCGTATACATCAGTATCATTAACGAATACCAAGTCTAGTGCTGCATCCTGATGTGTTATGAAGTTAACAAGGTTTCTACAACCAAGAGTTTTGAGAAAGCTTTGGTTATAAGAATTGAAATCATCACATATTATCGATAGGGAACCAGGGGTCACATAAATATTTGTTATATAAATAAAGCGATATTTGTTCAAATGTTTTGGGTGGCATTTTACAGTGATGTAATCTATGTAGTCATTTGAGAATTTGAAGCATATGTAACTCGAAATGCATCAATGGGTGTTGATAAAGGTAGCTACTCCACCTCCCCTTTTCTTAGTAGAGCTACATGGATCTTGACGGAAAATTTTGAAATCATTCGAAAACATCAAATTGTCATCATAAAGTTCATGTAACCAAGCTTCCTGCAGTGTAGTTACTCCAGTGTTACGGTACACATCGGAGGATAAAAGAGATTGTAAATAATCTACTTTTCCCTGCAGTGACCTACTGTTCGTGCTTATAATTCCAATCAGAGTCATTTGAGATAAGGTTATTCGCTCCAAAGCACGTTGTCATCCGCCGTGATGCTTATACCTCATCTTATCTGATGCTAGCATCGTAGAAGGCCGTAAGTTTTTAAAAAGGTGCGTGAATATATAATGCGATCAGAGGACATAATAGAATGATTGAAAAGAAAAAATCTGTTGAAAAATTTAATCCAATATGACAGATGGGAAAATTTAGTAGCTCAGATATTCAAGCAGGTCACTATTAGTCCCGATTAAATAAAAATGGTGACAGACACAAGGTTTTCAGCTTGTTATAGTATAGGATGGTATACTAAAAACGGTCTCCACTGAACAGTGGTATTATTAATGGGTAGTGATAATCAAGGTGTTCTCATTAGCTGCTTTTTTCCTGCGTAGCTTTTCTTCTTTTCGAACTTGCTTTTCTGGGGATTTCAATAAAAATATGTGACTCCCAGATGTCAAGTCATAAAAAATTTTTAGAAGGAGTGTGTTTAAATTTTTTAGTCAACGCGTCTCTATAAATAGTAAGTAGTTTCATTAGTTTAATTGTACGTCTTTGTGTACCTGTTTGTTTTCCCTTAGGCAACTAAAGCCATGGTATTTAGTGTGGTTTTAGCAATTTATCTAGTTAGAATTATTCACTAACCAACCATGTACATCACAATGGGCATTCATGCTAACTTGTTTGGCCAGCTGTTGTAACCTTTTGACACCAAATAATATTCGTCCAGCAAATCACTAATAATTCACACATAGTAGGTGAAACAGTTCTAAAAGCCATGTATCCCTCGGTTCTATGGGTTCCAAACACTAAAAATTAACTACAGTAAGTATTTATCTTGTTTTCTATCCTGAATCATTCAGATTCCTGTACTATAAATAATCAAACTGAAACATTGAAATTCTACCAACTTTCAAAAGTTTAGATATCCTTAAATAATCAACTGCTTCACTTTATTCATCACTTTTATACACACTGAATTCAATGAAGGAATTCTGTTCAGATCATCTTTCAAAAAGTTAATTCGTTTTTATTTATTTATCAGAGTCAGAACTCAACCATTAACTAGTGTATTCCAGAAATATACAACTCGAAGAATATCTAAAGTTTGAAAAATCCAATGATTGCAGAACATTAAAAAATGATAATTTCTTTTTATCTTAATGGCTTTCAATCAAACGAATATGATCATAATCAGGGAACATATTGTTCTTGTAAAATGTAGCCCTTCTAATTAGAAACGAGAAAACAACAGCAATCCTGAGGATAGCTAAGAAAACATGATTTGTGTTATCGGTTTCTAATCAACTATCTACCCGTACATTTGAATGATAGTTGACATCAACTGTAATTTATATTTTTGAGAGTTTAGGGTTCCACATTACTAAGCGTTTCAAATGTAAACTTTCTGAACACCTCACACTAGCCACTATAAAAAAATATACATGGACTTTACGACTAATTATTTTAAAATAAGAGGTTTTCCGAACTAACTGTTTGTTTGAATATTATTTCTGAAAATTGGATCGAAATACATCTACATGAAGTAGTTACAGCAATATGCTATAATAATCATTTGAAGAGTTCAAAAGGTGGATGAGAAAGATAACGGTATTGGTAAAAATTTAAGTAGTAATAGTAATCATATGAGTAAAAAATTAAGAGTTGGAAATCTGTTGAATACATTAATCCATTCCACAATGCATAAACTTTCCATTGATATATTTAAGTGAAATTTAGTTATGAAGATTTTAGGGTTTTTGGAAGGTGGAAAATTCTTATGGTAACAAGTAATACCGAATTAGCAAAGTTCTTTCTTAGTGTTGTTGCTTGTCCCATCCCCTGGTTGAGTGAACCGGATTAGTCGGTCTTTATTGACATATGAGCTCCTTCACGGATGCCTCAGTATTGCCTGAGTTTTAATTATATATTAATACAAGCAAAAACATCGAAAGTATCCCCGTCGCACAAAAAGTAGCTGTCGTGACTCAGTGGTGTAATGGATAACGTTCTGGCGTTAAACCCAGGTTCGAATCCCGGTAGGAACAACATCACTCACTGGGAGGCAGGTACATCCACCTGACGAGTTCCAAACCAGACGAAATGTGCATCCTGAATTCCACTACTAGCCACTATCCATCATTAATATATGATTAAAACCTAGGCAATACCAAGGCATCAGCACAGGAGCCCATATCCCAATAGAGACCGATCAATTCGGTCCAATGAACAACGGGATAATACAGGTGACAACACTAAGAGATTTAATTATTGAAACATAGTTCAACTAGTCAAATGGTGATGTACCATTCGTAGCACTGACATCCTATGAGTGTCATCAGTGAAGCTCATAAGTAGCTTCACTAAAGGACATAAATCCTGTAAACTGCTTTCTGATATCTAGTGACTATTCGACAAAAGTCGATTCAGAATGCTCACCATCATTAACACCAACATTGTTCAGATAGAATCGTCATCACAACCTACAGAAAATAAGTCCTTAAAAATATTGATTATGTATAGTAATGATGGGTAATGAGTAGCACTGAAATCCAGGATGCGCATTTCGTCCTATTTGGGACTCGTCAGTTGGATTTACCTGCCTTCCAGTGAGTGATGTTGTTCCCACCGGGATTCGGACTCGGGAGGGATCGCTTCAAACGCGAGAGCATTACCCACTGCACCACCGAGTCACGATAGCCACTTCTTGTGCAACGCGTATGGTTTTAGCGTTATTGCTTTTATTACACCGTTGTTGATTGGACTAAATTGGTCAGTCTTTGTTGGCATATGGGCTCCTGTGCGGATGCCTTGATATTGCCTATGTTTCAATAATGTATAGCATTGATGGGTAATCGGTAGCAGTGGAATCCAGGATGCGCAATAACAAGCAACAACTCTAAATATTGATTATGTTGCAATTATTATATTCTATTCCATTCAAGTAGGAGATAATGAATGACCAGTGAGGGCGTACTCGGGAAGTGATAACTGATAATAAATAATGACAATTTAATTTGCAGTGATAAATTATGAGAATTTCCTTTCCTTTAATAAAATAATGTAGACGTTGGAGGTGAGTGGTATTCGCTTTTAATACTTACACAACTGATCCATTCATCATGGTACAAGCGTTGCTGTTTCACTCATCTCCGGGGTTCATTCTAAAAGGCGCTCGTGACCATTGACAATGATAACTTTTGATTAATCGTTCAGTCGGATTAGTCATAACTGCCACAATAGATAGCAATGGATTCTGACTAGAAGGGTTACAAAAAAATTGCACATAAACGAAACAACCAATCATTCTCAAGCATTAACAAGTGAGAAGAAATTCATATCTACTTGTCGCTAAGCCAAAGGGAAGAATAAACTCAGTAATGGATTGCATCTTCTCTACCCTATAGTAGGCAACACGCACATGCATGCACATCCACACAATATAAAGTGTCTCCTAGTAGCAATATTCCTAACATTTATCTGTGTGTGCGAAAACCAAATATATAAATAAATACTGTTCCATTTCCGTCTACACTCAAACATTCCGGCATCTTGCATCATTCCTATCTGCCAAACAGTCTGCTTAAGCTACAGCAATATTATCATTTGTGTTCACATATGCACAACACAAATAGTGATCCTCCCATCAATAACAATCAACATAATCGACTGAGCTCCAACAGCCATCAGAATAACATCAAGCATACTACACAACAGTACACATTTCGAAAGACGACAGACCATTCAGTATTCACTTCAACACAACTGTCATTGCCGTCACCACCGTCACAACAATCATCACAATCAGTCTTCTCAAACTGTTCACACAAACGTGCTTCAGCTAACCTGCGAGAACGCAAACGCATACGACTCATCAATCACGCCTTCAATGGACTGCGTTCTCACTTGCCTAGGGAGTTGTTGTTCTCAAGTGCATTGCTGGATGATATTGACTCTACCATTCATAGCTCAGTTGTACAAGATCAGTATCCTATTGTCATGGAGTCAGCAAACAAAAAAATGACCAGCAGATTGAGCAGTCAGTATGCTGACCCAACAAACTCATATTTCCGAAAACAAACTATCTCAAAAGTTGATGTGTTGAGAGCTGCAATCAGGTACATTCGTGTGCTTCAAGAGATTGTGAAGGGACTGGATTCGGACCACCCAGTACAAGAAAGTCACAACAATCCTGATCAGAGTAGTCGTCTTCAGCTGAACACTCATCCACCAGGATTCTGCATACAGCTCGGTAATTGTCCATGTTCAAACGATAATTCTGATAAATCTGTAGAAGAGCGACTGTATACGAAGAAGATAGACGAAATGGCAGTGGAAGAAAGTAAGCTCTGATTACTACTGAAATGATTTTATATCACTATCTCTTAAGTATGTTTTACTGCATTATCTTCTTTCATTTATCCTAGCACACCAATATCTTTCAAGAATGTACAACAAAAGTAGCATAGTCATGTAAAGATCTAAAAGAAGATAAATGGTATAGCGTAACGGAATAATCAGTTATGAAGAGGCAGTCCCTCAGACTATTTCAATATCAATAAGTTTGAAGTGAATAATCATACACAATGGTTAGATTTTTAGGCTTTGGTAATATTTTTACCAAAATTAATGCCCTCAGTCACACTAATAGTCAGAACTTTCTCCAATTGTCTAAGCTTTGGTAATTTTACTGAAAACATTATCTAAGATTAAGAATATGTTCATTATGGGTGAACAAACATTCGTTTAAAATTTGAATCTAACATGTTAGCTCATTTCACAATGCAAAAACTCTCCATGGATAGAATATAAATAAGATAAATTCAGAAAGGTGAACTCAGTTCAGCAATGGTATTCCGATATACATTGTCCAAGGAAAATATGTCTTTGATGGTCGTGTGTTGTCTGATCTGGATTGTTCAACCGTTTCGTTTGACAGACTGAACAATCCAGCTCACAGAATACACCACCAAATTATCCTTTTGAGCTACAAATATTCTACATCATTAGAAAAACAAAACAGTTTCAATGACGAGGAAACCAGATTCTCCGATGTATAGGGGTATTGGGAAAAGTGATAACTAAGGTGCAGCATAAACGTTTTATCAACTTTGTATAAATGAATCATAGGAGTAATTTAATTAGGCGTCTAGCAATTGTAACAAGATCAGTTGACTCTCAGGAGCGTGTGGAGAATGAGATGCAATTTATCCGAGACACATTGGGTGGGAAATGATTTCTTCTAAAGTTCAGTCCCTAACTCCAGTTCGTTTTTGAAAGAATTCACTTCCACAAACTTGAATTTTGTTATCATTACTGCGGAACATGAAGAGAACTTTTTGAAAATAATCTTCCTCACCCATACTGACTGACTTCTAGGAAACTATTCAATCCATTCCCAATGCTATCAATTACTATGGCACCAAATGACTTACGTGAAATAATGATACTTCTTTGCAAGAATATATGTTAGTTACATGACATATTCAAAGGTAGATGTAGGTGCACATTTGGTGGCCATTTGAATGTAGCATGTTCAGTAGGCTTTTTCCCAAAATCGACTAACTTCTACTGTTACACTATCAAACTGAAATTGACTCGATGCCGTAACCTAGTGTATTTGACACGATGCTATACAAAAAATTCAGAAAGTAGACGTCTTCCACTTAATGACGTTCATGAGCGTAGCAGCTACATGACGTTCATTGTCTTCATTACTTATCAAATCTTGTGTAACTAAAGTATTTAGGTATCCTATGAAATCTCACCAAGGAGATGCTGTTGCTAAGTAACACATTTTATTCACAACACATTTACTTTTGAGAAAGATGATAGAAACATCATACGATACGAATAATACTAGTTTCGGTCCACGCAAATCTGAATGCAATCGATTGTCAAATTATCAATTGAAAAACAGAAATATTCCAACAAATACTCATCGCACCACATTCATATAATGAATTCTACAGAGAATATTTATTTGATTTACATGATTCGCACAAGTGATAGACTGGACAAGATGAAAGTAAAGCAGACTGTTACAAGTAACCTTAGATTTGTAAGGACATTGACTCTTGAGAGTTGCTTGTTCATGCAGGAAAAGAGATCGAATAATTCATCGACTGTTCTGTTGCGACCATAGCACAGATGAATCTTTATAACGCCTATAAAACAGTGAATTAAACAGTTTCCATGATCTGCTAGGGCTAGCTGAAATACTCTATATTAAGAACTATGTCAACAGCTTGTGCTATTTTGACTATAATGAGCACCATAGTCCAATTATGAGATCCAATTTAAGATTAGGAATTGGAAGATGGTGTGAAATAGAGTCTACCTTAACCATAGGTAGTTATCGAAAGTCTCCTAGTCATTTTCAGTGATTTGTTCTGTCATTAGTCAAGACAAGTGAATGAGACATTCTCCACATGAATGAGACTTTTCACGCTGTACAAAATAAAATATCTCCTCAAACTATCAATTTAAGTCATATAGTCACATAGATCGCATCCGTCAATCACACTTTGATAGTTACACCAGACAAATAGCTATCATAGTGTTGATCAAAAGTATTGTATCGACTCACGATTATTGTGTAGTGTTTCCAATAAACCACATTTTGTCACCATACCGCACACTCACTCATTCAAAAATATAGCCAGTTTAAATACTTTCTGTTGCAGTTCCTTCCTCACTGTTCTTCATATCTTGCACCCCCACTACATTACAGGCTCAACTTCTCAATCAATACTCATCGGTTGGAATCAAGACTCACAAAACTCACTGTTCAGTTCAACGCACCAACACTTCCCCTCCCATTACTGTTCGAATGCAATACCACTGAATCACTCCAACAAATGTGAGAGCATAGCTGTCGAAATGACTGGCACGAATAGAACAATATATAAGAGATATCGACACATTCGAAATTCTACACGTCTAGTTCATTGCAAACAGACATGGTGGCCAACTGTACTCAAATCCAACTACACGTGTGCGTAATTTAAGAGACTGAGAATACAGAAGAATTTTGTACTCAAATAAATCTGTTTTTACACTCTCATCTTGTTTGTTATTTTGCACGTTTCTCATGGCAACAAACTAGGTAGTGTTAAACTCAAATAATAACTGAATTGAACGTTGGAGAGAAAGAAATTTGATTCCCATATGATACTATATTGCTGATGCATATCTTGAATTGAGTACTGAGGCAAATAATTGGCCTTCATGCTGACATTCCAATAAGAGGTAATTCCTTTTCTGTCACATTGTCAGTGGTGAAGATGAGCATTTATTTCGTCTAAATGGTTTCAGTGTACCATAGGTACTTCAGTGTAACCAGTGACTACATTCATGATTTGTGCTCGAACCAGTGGCTGAAATGTGTTCTGTGTACAACTCACCTACGTTATGAACTGCCAACACAACTCTACTACCAAATTCAACAAATGGTCTTCATCGATTGTACGATGAGTCATAGTAATGTGAATGAATCAGATTGTATCATATTAAGTGAATACTATTCCATAAATCTTAATCGCTTTACTGAATTCAGCATTTTCTTATTCCATCTGCCTCCCTTTTACTTGTTTCTCCTGTATCTACGCGACATTTCTTACTTCACTTTTTAAGGTATTGCTTTGTAGCTTGACGTACAGATTTTAAGTGTGGTGACTTGAACTGTTACTTAGTAATTACTTGTCTTATGTTGAAACTGATGATGAGGACGATGATTGTCAAAATTATTTCCAAAACCTGAAACTAAGGTAATCGTATCTAGCCGGTTGAGATATCAGTTTCACTAAGATAAACTTGAAAACAAAGGTGGAAAGTAATGATGAATCACACATTCTGATCACGCAGGTAATGCATATTTTTTAAATCCAGGAACAGGTCTGCTGTGCCCTAATGACTGTTCACAGGGTAAACTACAATCAACAATAATCTCCCTTGAAGGGTCTCTCAAAATGAAGATGAGTGTCGAATTTCTGACTGGTAGCTTACACCTTTTTTCCAACTAGCTGTTTTGTGCACAGGCTCATTTCAAGTTGGCAGCCTTTGTCATCAACTTTTGCCAAATCAAATTGTGATCAGTAGATATGATGTGACTAATGCATATGTCCAAAGCAAGACTGAAAAACTCATTTCCAAAGGTATTATTAATTTATATTTAAGACAGACATGTTCATTCAGTGAAATAACCAATTCGAAGAAACTTTCTAGCACTTAGTGCATTGGAGTTATCTATATCTTGCACCCCCATTATATTATAGGCCCACGCTATCAGTCAATAATCGTCAGTTTGAATCGAAACTCACAAAACCCACTAGTTAGCGCAACGCACCAACAATTCTCCTCCCGTTACTGTTCGAACGCAATACTACCGAATTTCTATAGCACAACAGTGAGAACTAGCCAATGTAACAACACTTTCAGCATAAATAATGGGTAGACTATGAAATGTTTGTCACTTAGAGTCCATCTCATGAAATCGAAGTGGCATGACATGGTGAGTGTGCATTGATATCGAATCAGAAATCCGCATGAAGAAAACACCCAGTGGTCTCTTGTTTTACAAGATTTTGTAAACCATCCAGTCCAGTGATGGTCGGGAGACGTTCTATGTATAACTGCCTTTCAAGACCTAGGCTGAGTTTAAATTAGGTTAAGAAATGTAGCTGTGTATCTTAGAAATAAGGCTTAATACACATCCTTACAATTGGTAGGATGTCGAATTTGTAAACTGTGAGAACTGAATGCGTAACTACTACATCTCATAATGGTAATCATACCTTTCGATACCTCGGGAAGTTCCGCATTACATCAGTGAACTGAAATTGCAGGATAGACTTAATAAAGCAAGTTTCTTGTCGAATATTTAATGGCATCATTTCACTCCCTCACCATCTCTCGACAACTGGACATCAGTGATGCAGAGTGAATCCTGAGATGGAAAACTAATGGTTGATGTTATCTCTTGTGAACACTTGGGTGAACAATAGGATCTGGAACCATTAAATTAGCATTTGTCCTTCTTAATAGTGTTGGCAAATACTTCTAATGATTTCAAAAATCATGAGAATTAGAATGCAGGCATTTCACACACCACATTACTCGTCAAGCATCGATGTTGTGGTGCAAAATCCTCAATCAGCTACATTTCTGAACTGACTACTGCATATATTACTGTCAAATAACCAACATATGCTTTGTGAATAAACGGGTATAACAGCCCTTCATAATGACACACAGGTAAACGCCAAACCTTGCATGAATCAGAATTCATCGAATTTGGCCCCGTTCGTTCCAAATTGTAAAACGTGAGTGAAAATATCTCAAACATTACTATT